CCGCCACTGTGCTCCTTTGCCCCCATGTACCTGACTGGTCAATCATATGGGAGGAAAAGCAGTGAGCCATACCCAGATGTACTAAGTGTGTCACTTCACTTCCCTGCGACAGAGGAATGAAGGGAATATCAGGGCAGGATTAACCATTAAGCAAAATAAGAACGTGCTTAGGGCACCAAAGGAAGGGAGCACCACAGAGTCTTTCCCCTAGCTATCATGTTCTTAAAGGATAAGTGCACTTTAAAACAAAATGCACTCATCCTATCTGCCCCTTTGCCCCGAGCTAACCGATCCCGCCTTCTCCTCCACCGATGTATACTTACGGACACCTGACTATTGCGGCCTCCATTGTTTACAGGACTATTACAGCCTCATAGACTTCTCCAGGCCAGTAGACAAGACCCATATACTTCAAACTTTCATTTTAGTAAGCACATATTGAGTCTTTTCATTTAACCAAGATACCAAGAGGGCACCATTGTTGGGCTGTGCTTAAGGCATTAATTGCCCTTAAACTGGCACTGAGGGATGGTGACTATGTACAGCTGTTTGGGTCGCCATGTTGCTTTGCCCTGTACCGGCAAATCGCAGGTTCACTTTAAAAATAACAAATGCAATAATTTAGTCTTGGGGAAAAGTTTAGTGCAACAAAACACTTGATGGGTAAAAACTAAAGTATTTATATTTATAGCGGTCTACAAGCCAGACCAAAAAGAAGGACACCTGAGGAGGTAAAGGGGGATTTCCTCCCAAAAGAAGGAGCTGGGTGTTGTTGTGACTGCTAGCCAATCACAGGTAATTTAAACAATTTTGAGCTTGCACAGCTGGGAGTAAAAAAAAGTTGCAGTGAAATCCTGTGTGCAAACACAGACAGTGCCGGATCTATTTCCGAAACAGATCCAACCTCTGTCACGACTTTCCACTGCCTTGCAGCCCAGTCCAGCAAGCGTTAAGTGAAACCTCACACACACAGTGGTCCCTTGGTTTCTGTTCTGATTTGCGCTGTACTCTTGTGTTTAACATTTAAACAGGGTCATGTATAATTAACTGCATTTTTTGCTGTTGGCAAATATGGGCTGTGGCACTAGTAGGCAGAATTGAAGGATTACAAGGGATTCTGGTTATATCTGATTATAAGCGGTAAAGGCCGCCATACAAGCAGTAATGTGGCTATAGTATTAAATAAACAGTAGGATGGATGCTTAGTTGATGTGGACCACAGAGGTCTTCTCTTGCCAGTTTACTCATTGTCGTGAGATGGTTCGATTTAAAGCAACATCATGCATGCATTTAAGATCTTAAAGGGAAAATCCAGTTTTGTAAAAAAAATAAAAAATAAAAATGATATAACACATATAACTGCCACACAAGCAATTTTGGAATCTGTTAATGACCTTTCCATTTCAGTCAGCAGACAGCCTGTGTTCTATATCTGCCACAAAAAAAAATCTAATTTCTCTCTCTTGTAGCCATGGCAACAGTACCTGAGCTAAAGAGGGATTTTCCAGAATCCGCTCTTAATAATTGGTTAAATGCCTTTCCCATAAGGCAGCACAAGATCTATGGTCAAGCCACAGACAGCCAGTTGCATAGAGTATGGCATTCCTGACCGGTTTTGAATGTTTTGGGATAGGAAACTGACCCGGAGAGGGTTTGTTTGGTTGTCATCAGAGTCATAACTATGTATGATAGGGCCCCACAGCAAAAGTATTAAGGGCTCCCCTTACTCCACTTACCATTGTTTAGGTGATTCTTCTGGCTATACCCAGCACTAATTGCTTTTATAACCGTTTATAGAGATTCCTAAACTACGAAGACTTTTTTTGTATCTAGTTGTATTCGCCAAATGCTATTGGCATCTGCATAAATAACTATGTAGCCAGAGAGTGCTTGGTCCCATAAGAGTCACATGGTCTATTATGGCTTCAATTACGCCTATTAAAACCATTTAAAGGCTCAATTACTGTCAGTAATTGGATATGCAGAGCCCAATAGCAGAGGCACACACCTTGGGATAGCATACACAAGAGAAGAATCAGGCACAGATTCCAAATACATGGTACAAAAAGATAAGTCCAGTAATCATAGTCAAACGAAGCATCAGGTCAGGGCGGGCAGCAAAGGATCAAACTCAATGAAGGAAGCAATGATCAGGTAACAGAATCACACAGCTAGCAACTGGAACACACCGTGGATAGCTCTAAAACAACTGAGCACTCTCTCTCTGGAACCTTGCAGCTTTATATTGATCCAACAGGAAGTGATGTCAGGAGGTGTGACAGGAGGGATGCAATTCCTGTCTATAACAGGAAGCACTCCAGGGATGCCATTAAACATGTGCAAGAGGCCTCATTATTTTCACGCAGGGAAGGTATAGGACACAAGTCACTGACAAAAGTGCCAATTACCGGCATGCTGCGAGTGCGAGGACCCCCGCGATTGATACAGGTAAGTCGAGAATTGTGACAATTACAATCAGCACTTGTTTTTGAAGGTGAGCTTCTGGAGCATTCATCCTTATCCTTTCTTCATTAACTAGTGGGTCACGGACCAACAGAAAGCATGTGCAGGTGTCCTGACACTTGACTTGCTGCATGCTTGTGCCGAGTCAGTGACTAACCAAGACGTGAAAAAGATGGGTGACTGTCAGACATCTCCAACCAGTCAACAATGGCAGCCAGCACAGTTCCATCCCTATAGAAGCTTTTTGTTTATTTCTGGAAACTTCTTCACAAGCAGGACAAGCATGTGCAGAGCTACTAAACAAGAGACACATACATCTATAAATATAAATACATGAAGATGTATATCTTGGCCTAGATAATGGAGGTTTAAAGCGGACAAGAAAACATAAATACAAAAGGATCTATACAGCCACGACACTCAAGGAATATGACACAGCTCCATGCTGTATACAAAATCAAATAATCCTTTGTACCCTGCTGAATATCAAAACTCCATGCAAAAATGACATATATATTATATATAAAACCCACAGAAGACATAACACCAGCTTTTTAAATCGGCTCAGTCAGTTAAAGTCTTAACACTATGACTCTTTGTATGTAAACAAAACAAGAATTCAAGGTTGTAGCACCTCCCTACGCTTATAGGAAAGCATATTTATATCTTTTACAACACACCTGACCCTTAAAGCATCACAATACATACATCAGAAAACATTTGTGCTGTGTTGTGTGTTGGAAAAAAAGAATTCAGAAACTTTTTTTGCTGCATGGACATGTATTGAGGACACACACAATATAAACTGGCACAGGAACCACAAGTGTGATGAAGTGTGAAGTGAGCTCATAGGTGTAAATGTGTTTTAAGAGTTCTTTTAAAGTGACACTGAACTCAGGAGTTAATTCTAAAAAATGCATTCAAGTACCTTAGCTATGAACAACAATGTATATTATATGTGTATCACTCAGCTGTAGATCCTCAAATCATCTCTGAATTGGTGCTGACACTGTCCTTCCTTCTGCAGAGTGGCTACTTTTGTTCCCCGTGGTCCCTGTGAGTGTTGAAAAGTAGCCACCGCTCCATGCTCTCTCCCGTGATGGACTACAATCTCACGTTTAGTTTACTAATTTGTATTGAGATTGTAGTCTATCTCGGGAGTGAGCTTGGAGTGGTGGCTATTTTACAACACACCTAGGGACCATGGGGAGCAAAAGTAGCCACCCTCCAGAAGGAAGGACGATGTCAGCACCAATTCAGAGATGATTTGAGGCAGGGACGTGCGGTCAGGGGAGGCAGGTGAGGCAGAGCCTCACCTAGTACTATGGATGAAAAAGCTGTCTGCTCAAATCTGAAGCTGACAGCTTTTTCTCCATCCAGATCAGCTTCTAGCAGGTTACACAGCAGGGAAAGCCTCCCCGCTGTGTAATCTGTCATGGACGGAGTGCTGCCTGTTAATTACAGGTGGCGCACTGGCGCTGCATCCTGCTTTTGACAGCTAAGTTAGGTTGCACAGCATCGGGCTTCCCCACTGCTTTGTGCAACCTTAGTGAGGAAAGATCAGCAACAGCCTCTACTTTCGGGCTGGGGCAGGCAGGGGAAATGCCTCACTGAGAACGGACTCCACTGCACGTCACTAATTTGAGGATATACAGCTAAGTAATACACAAATAATATACATTTTTGTTAATAGTTAAGGTACTTGAATGTATTTTTACGATTTAACTCCTGAGTTTAGTATCACTTGAAAACATGCTGGATTCTTCCTCATCAGATTCAGACCTCACATGCACACTGATCAGACTTTTTGCAGTAGAGGCCTCAAGGACTGGACTATATGTCCCTGTGGCACACATCTGATGATGCAGGGTGTTAAAACAGGTTCACCAAGATGACCTCCATTAAGCCAAAATCAATGTATAAAGTATCAATAAGGTCAGTCTAACGCTGGACATTATGGGACTTCTACTATCTGTTGTGATTAAATCAATTACACGGTGGCCCAACACAGCCAACGAGCCATCATAATTTCTTGTACTGATGAGGCCACTTCAATTGCTATTTGATACTGCCTCCTACATTTGCTCTTCGCTCAGAGCCAATAAATAAAATAAAAATTGCAAACCCTGCATCATCTTTTAGTTTTTAACATTCAACAAACAGGCATACCTTTGCTAGCTTTAAAGGTTCCATTTTAATGTGAAGTGGAGTCTGGTGAGTCCTTCACAACCTTCTTTTGTCACTTGGGGGCTCCAGAGCTGAACTATCCCATTATAGCTTCCAACAGACTGGCTTCTCTTGTTGGTGAGAACCCCTTGTATTGTCCTCAGCAGGAGTACAGACCCGGGAATTCAATGCAGAGACCTCACCAGTAAAGTCCCAGAGGGATAGAAGAAATGGTCAGGTGGCTTAACTCTCCGCCATCACACCATTGTGTGAGTCGGTCTTTGAGATAACCCAGTTTTTACAAATTGTAGGTTTATTTTTATTTTTTTAAATGCTCAGCTACTGTAAAAAGAGTAAGAATTGTTACCTACCCGGTAAGAACGACCACAAAATCCATGACATTCCAACCGTTCCGTAGGTACGATCCTTTGTGAAACACAAACCCCAGGGCAATGATCTTAATGCCAGCTTCAAAACAGAAGATGCCAATGAAGTAGGGTTCGGTATCATCCTAGAAAATAAACAGATGAGTGTAACCATTTTGGGTGTGACAGTACTTATAGCCATCATTGACAAATATCTGTGCATGAGGCGCTCTATAGGTTACAGATTGTTGGGAATTACATTGTGGGAGGTCAAGTAGGAGTAAAAGAGATGAAACGTGTGCAGTGTCCCAGGTCTTACAGGAATGTGGAGGAATACAAGAACCAGCCATTTATTTCTCCACTGTATCATAGCCATGTATTTAACAAGATGACACGGTCTATTTAAAGGGAAAATACAGAGAGGGGAATTTATCAAAACTGGAGCAGACAGAATCAGGAGCAGTTGACCATAGTAACCAATCATCTTCTCTCTTCAGTTTCTTAAGTTAAGCTTTGAAAATGAAAGATAGAAGCCAAATGGTTGCCATGCACAGCTTCTCCAGTTTTGACAAATAGAGTATCTTATACAGAGAACGTAATTTGACTTTTTGCCCATGGCAACCACTCTTCTCTCTCATTTTCCAAGCTTAACTGAACAACCTGAAAATAGAAGTTGATTGGTTACTATGGACAACTGCTCCAGATTTTGTCTAATCCAGATTTCATAAATTCCACCCAGTGTTTACTTGACAGTAATATTTCAAGTGACTTTTACAGTTCACGTGGTTGCTGTGCCATATTTTCTGAATGACACATAAGGATATGTAGAGTTTCCCTCTTGTGGCTGCGTATGTTTCTATGCAATTACTCAGCTTCACTACTGGCATAAACCCCAGCCATGTAGAGACTGCAGTGAGAGAGAACCAGTAATGCGATGCACATTATCGCACACAACTAAGTGCACTACGTTACAGCACCATTCATTTGAAGGTTGGTGGATCACCACACACTTAACTTGCCACAATGCATGGTCATGAACCATTTGTGTGTTGCGTTGGGAAAATGGTGCACGTCCGTTAAAGTTTGGGTGACCATGTGCTGATTAAATAAACAGACGTTGATCTGCCTACAGCAGCGGTAGCTAACCTATGGCACTGGCATCCGCTCTGCTGGCAAGCAAGCCCAGGTCCAGATTGACAGAGGGGCTCCTGGAACTCCCACTCCAGGCCCGCCCCTGAAAATAGGCCGGACTGTCCCGGTGTTCTATCAAAACGGCCAACTCTTCGACATCACCAACTCGGTATGGCACGCCTGGGGACTAGTGTGCGTGTGTCAGAATCCTCGTCAAGTTCTCCAATTCCCATCAGTGTACCTCCATGGCTTCACAATCCTTGTTAAGTTCTCCATCTCCTGTCAGTGTGCCTGCACGGCCACCCAAGAGCAGTATCAAGTTCTTCAATTGGCATTACAGCTCCTGCACACCCACCCAATGGCATAACATGAAATCTGTTAGCAGAAGATGCTCTCTGATTGGCTGCCTTTGCTTTGCAACGACAAGGATTGTGAAGCCGCGCAGGCACACTGATGGGAATTGGCGAACTCGATGATAATTCTGAAACTGCAACGGCTGGTGCAGGCGCACTAGTGCCATCTCGTCCAAATTGTCCTACTGGCAAGTCACCAGATGTGACCTAACCAGTTGGAGATCTGGCCAGTTTGGGCACTCGGGCTCAAAAAGGTTCGCCATCACTAGCCTAGAGTGATGCACTGCGACAGTCTGATTCCACCCTAAGGCCCGGCCATTGTATACCAGTGCTAAGCAGGAAGCAGAGTCTGTATGTAATGAGCAATATAGCTGCTGCCATATCCATAGATCATTTAAAACTATACACACATTTCTAAACCATTACCACACCAATATGGTTCTTTACATTGAGCTGACGATGTTCCATGGGAAAGCCAAGCCTTTACATATAAAATACTCTCTGTACCTTTTCTTCCTTCTCTGTAACATAGAAGTGATGTAACCCTGAACTGTGCAGCCAGGACGTAATGATGGGGTGTGTGATTCTGCCCTGATAATGAATGGATCCGTATCTTGGACATAGAGCCCCCCTTCAAATTAATGGCACTGATTCACAGGATCTTAGCCGTCCCCTCCCCCTAATTTCTACTGAGTATTTTTAGAATTCTCTCATCTAAAAAAACAGCTTGCAGGAAGTAATTAATAAGTGCGTTTAATACAGAATATTCATGGTTTCTAGTAAAGGGTTATTCCATGTAATTAAGATTTACATGTGACACTGAAGGGAGAGTAGACAATAAGGAGGAATAACTGGGACATGTATGTGACACTGAGGGGGCGAGGGGTGACTGAGACATGTATGTGACACTGAGGGCGAGGAGGGGTGACTGAGACATGTATGTGACACTGAGGAGGAGAGGAGTGAGGACTGAGACATGTATGTGACACTGACAGGGGGGAACGGTAACTGAGACATGTATGTGACACTGAGGGGGGAGGAGGGGTGACTGAGACATGTAGTGACACTGAGGGGGAGGAGGGGTAACTGAGACATGTATGTGACACTGAGGGGGGGGTGACTAGGACATGTATGTGACACCGAGGAGGGGTGACTGGGACATGTATGTGACACTGAAGGGAGGGCAGGGGTGACTGGGACATGTTGACTGGTCATGTCAAAGTAAAATATTCCCAGAGCAATTTACTCCAGAAATAAATCTGGGAGCATTAGAGGATCAATAATACCAATTGATTATGTTGATATGTTTGCCTACAAAAGTTTCTGTTCCTGATAGGACAGCAATGAGTTTTCCTTTCCTTGTCCCTCTCCACGGGATGTGTTGCAGCCGAACCTGAAAGTGGACCTGTCATCAGATAGATGATGTCTTGCTCATTGCATGCATTCTAAGTAATGTGTAAATGTGACACTTCACTAGCGCTCACACAGATTACAGGCTTCAAATCGAATACATGTATTTCAAGTGTATATTCAGTTTGTCTAGAGCACAGGAGTGTGCCAGATGTGCCCGGGTGTGCCCGGGTGTGCCAGATGTGCACTCTGAGTGCAACATTGAAACCGCAACAGCGGGCGCCATGTTTGTATGAGCCCCCCTTCAAATTAATGGCACTGATTCACAGGATCTTAGCCGTCCCCTCCCCCTAATTTCTACTGAGTATTTTTAGAATTCTCTCATCTAAAAAAACAGCTTGCAGGAAGTAATTAATAAGTGCGTTTAATACAGAATATTCATGGTTTCTAGTAAAGGGTTATTCCATGTAATTAAGATTTACATGTGACACTGAAGGGAGAGTAGACAATAAGGAGGAATAACTGGGACATGTATGTGACACTGAGGGGGCGAGGGGTGACTGAGACATGTATGTGACACTGAGGGCGAGGAGGGGTGACTGAGACATGTATGTGACACTGAGGAGGAGAGGAGTGAGGACTGAGACATGTATGTGACACTGACAGGGGGGAACGGTAACTGAGACATGTATGTGACACTGAGGGGGGAGGAGGGGTGACTGAGACATGTAGTGACACTGAGGGGGAGGAGGGGTAACTGAGACATGTATGTGACACTGAGGGGGGGGTGACTAGGACATGTATGTGACACCGAGGAGGGGTGACTGGGACATGTATGTGACACTGAAGGGAGGGCAGGGGTGACTGGGACATGTTGACTGGTCATGTCAAAGTAAAATATTCCCAGAGCAATTTACTCCAGAAATAAATCTGGGAGCATTAGAGGATCAATAATACCAATTGATTATGTTGATATGTTTGCCTACAAAAGTTTCTGTTCCTGATAGGACAGCAATGAGTTTTCCTTTCCTTGTCCCTCTCCACGGGATGTGTTGCAGCCGAACCTGAAAGTGGACCTGTCATCAGATAGATGATGTCTTGCTCATTGCATGCATTCTAAGTAATGTGTAAATGTGACACTTCACTAGCGCTCACACAGATTACAGGCTTCAAATCGAATACATGTATTTCAAGTGTATATTCAGTTTGTCTAGAGCACAGGAGTGTGCCAGATGTGCCCGGGTGTGCCCGGGTGTGCCAGATGTGCACTCTGAGTGCAACATTGAAACCGCAACAGCGGGCGCCATGTTTGTAGTCACTGAGCCAGTGGAGAGATCACAAAGATCTCTCTTTGACTGGCTCAGTGATACACAGCACAGCAGCACTTGACACTTATATTCCTCACATAACAGTGAGGAATATAGTCCTTGGTGCCTGGGAAGCTGCGAAGGCGTGCGGCTGCAGGTCCCATATAATGAGAAAGCCAGGTGGAGCCAGGTGGAGCCAGGTAGTCAATGCTCCTTAGAAATTACAGCTGGCACCCAACTTTTGAGATTTCCTTTAGTTGTAAATGGAGTTGGTTCCTTCACAAAATCCAGCTGCCTCCTGGATTGGTCAGACTGGCTCCTGAATTTGCATATTAATTTGCCCCCCCCTGTTCGAACCCTTTCCAAATATATACAAAACTTAGACTTAAAAGATAACTAAGGGGTAAGTGTTTTTCCCCATAGTTCTCTTAAGGGTCACGGGAGGACATATACTAGCATCCTCCCTTGACCCAAAGCTCAGTATATTACAAGTTACAGCTCGCGGTCACACGTCGGCTCGAACTATGAGGATGAGTGATTTTCACTCACCTCATAGTTCTCATTTTGAGTTTCTACTTTTACTGCTATGGGCCAACGTGTCCAAGTGTCAACAGCCCCCATCTATTCCATCCATCTAAATCAAGATTTAACCAAATACAAAAATAAAAAATGAGGGAAACAAATGTTGCTGTTGTTTCTAGTTCTACCCCTGCCTTTTCCTGTAATGTCCCTGAAAGAGCCAAAAGACAATTACAGTCCCTAGCAACACCCAGATTTTATCAGTTAGAAGATCACACAACTGAACTGAGGATTACAAGAGCAATCTTCTCCTTACATAAATCAGCATCCAATAGGATATAACTGACACTGTATTGATCACTTAATTGATATTATAAAGGGTATTTGTTGATGTTATCTCTTCCCAGCCATGGACACAGTGAATCCAATGACTCTTGCTGGCTGTGCAAGTCCTAACAATTACACTGCCAACATTATGGCCCCCAC